AGCAGTGTTCTCTTTCCCACTCCAAGGCACTGTCGGTTGTCCCTTAGTCTGATTTTTTTTTTCATCTCCCTTTATATACAACACAGTTCCAGCACTCATCACATTGTTTCTGTTTCTTGTCTGTCTTCCTAGCCAAATGGAAAGATGACTTTTTGTTTGTATATTCTGAGCTTCTGACACACTCCTGGTGTCAAGTCAATCTAGTAGAAGTTTGGCAGAGAATAAGCCAGATCAGGAAAGGTATTACATGCCAGGCTAAGGAGTTACAGCTTTGCCCTGAGGTTGATGAGAAGCCATGGAAGATTTTTTTTTTTTGAGACAAGGTTCCTCTATGTAGCTCTGGCTGTCCTGGAACTTGCTCTGTAGACCAGTTTGGCCTTGAACTCACAGAGATCTGCCTGCCTCTGCCTCCCAAGTGCTGGGATCAAAGGCAAAAGGCATGGAAGATTTTAAAGCAAAGATGTAACAATTTTATTGTAGGTTCTTCAGTGACGAGTATTCTCAGCAAGGCTGGCAGAGGCAGAGGCAGAGGTGCTCTATCTCTAGCCTGATGAGTGAGGGCCAGAGATATGCCCTTAGAACCTTTGCTCTTGTCTCTCCATGTTCCCACTTAATTGTGTAATAGCTGAGAGTCCCTGTGTCGGGTTTGTTTCATGTCCCCAAGAGCATGGTGTCTTTTTTCTTTTGTGTGTACAATATTCGCTTACCCTTCCTCCTCCTGCAACGTATATCTAACATAAAAAGAATTATATAGCTATTTCAATAAGTACTGTTCAATTGAAATTGAATAAAGCTCTCTGGGATATAAAATTTAGCACAACCAAGGGTGGGAAAAGAAAAGGATACTTCTGATTCCTAGAGTGAATCACTACCTGGCTTCATGGAATCAAGGGTGAAATAGAGATGGTTCACCATTCTATTATCTGAGTTTAAAAGTTCTCTTCTTAGGTTGTATACTCAATAATAAGGATGAAACTGAAACTCAAAGCTAGGCAGTTTACAACTATTTAAACTATGTTACAGTAAGAATTACACAGAGGGGGGGCTGGAGAGTTGGCTCAGAGTTTAAGAATACTAGCTGCTCTTCCAGAGGTCTTGAGTTCAATTCCCAGCAACCACATGGTGGCTCACAACCATCTATAATGAGATCTGGTGACCTCTTCTGGCATGCAGGCAGAACACTGTATACATAATAATGTCATTAAAAAAAAGTTACACAGAGGATACATCTTCCCCCCCAAATTAATAATAATAATAATAATAATAATAATTTCACCAGTCGGTGGTGGCTCACGCCCTTAGTCCTGGCACTCGGGAAGCAGAGGCAGGCGGATCTCTGTGAGTTCAAGACCAGCCTGGTCTACAAGAGCTAGTTTCAGGACAGCCTCCAAAGCCACAGAGAAACCCTGTCTCGAAAAACCAAAAAAAAAAAAATAATAATAATAATGATAATAATAATAATAAGTTATAAGAGGGCTGGAAGCCAGGTGGTGGTGGTGCACACCTTTAATCCCAGCAGTGGGCAGGTAGAGGCAGGGGGATCTCTGTGAGTTCAAGCCCAGCCTCAGAGCAAGTTCCAGGACAGCCAAGTCTGTTACATAGAGAAACCCTGTCTTGAAAAAAAAAAAAAACAGAGGGCTGGAGAGATGGCTCGGTAGTTAAGAACACTGGCTGCTTTTTTTTTTTTTTAAGAGAAAGAAACCCTGTCTCGAAAAAACAAACAAAAATAGACAATCTTTTCTAGTTCCAGAAATATCGAGCCCTGTCCTTAGCACTAAGTTTGTGTCTTAGACTAATCCGGAATCAGTTTGTTGCAGTGTTTATAATGTTTGGGAGTAAAGTTATTCTCTGAGCCAAGGAAATCGTCTTCCTAATGGAAGGATGAACTGCAAAAACCAGAAGTGTATGCCAGTGCATGCCGGTGACCTGAACACAAGAGAAACAGGCAGTACAGTCAAGGCCAGCCTTGGACTACATAGGAAGGCACTGCCTCAGAAAAGTCAGAATTATATGAGTCCTGCATTCCATTTTCTGTATTGGCTTTTTTTGTTTTTTTGTTTGCTTGGTTGGTTGGTTTTGGTTTTCAAGATGGGGTTTCTCTGTAGCTTTGGAGCTTGTCTTGGAACTTGCTCTGTAGACTCGGCTGACCTCAAACTCACAGAGATCCGCCTGCTTCTGCCTCCCGAGTGCTGGGTTTGAAGGCGTGCGCCACCACCGACCAGCCACCCCTTTGTTTTTATAGGTTTTCTTTTGTTTTAAGATAAAGTCTTAGTACCTTGCAGACCTGGATGACCTGGAACTGGCTGTGTAGACCAGGCTGGTTTCCAGCTCAAACAGACCTGCCTGCCTCTGCTTCTCAAGTGCTGGAATTAAAGGCATCTTTGCTCCTTTGTTTTTAGTGTTTGTTAGTGATGGTCTCTGTCTGACTCCCTCCTGCCTCTGCTTCTCACTGCTAAGACTCCAGGCATATCTCACCACACTGCCTCTTACTTATTTTTTCAGACAGACTCTTTCTGTGTATCTCAGGCTGGCCTTAAACTCGAGGCCCTCCTGCTTTCGCCTTCTGAGAGTCTTATTTCTCTTCTAATTTTCAGAGCAAGGCTTGAAATGCCAGGAAAAGGAAGTGGGATAGCCACCATGAATTGCCTCTGATGGCAGAAAACAAGGAAATGGATTGGTTTCCGCTGTGGGCACAGATTTGACAGTCACATTCTCTTATGAGCACCCTTGCAGTGCTACTGTTGACTACTGGAAGGTGTAGCCAATAAAATCATCACAGAAGGGGATGCTGAAAATTGTGGAACCACCTTTATCAAGGAAAACTGTGCCTACAATAAAACACATTTTGTTTCTGTTTTTGTTTTCTGTTTGTTTTTCAAGATAGGGTTTCTCTGTGTAGCTTTGGAGACCAGGCTGGCCTCGAACTCACAGAGATCTGCCTGCTTCTTAAGTGCTGGGATTACAGGCGTGAGCCACTACTGCCCAGAGGAACCTGTTTCTTATGTCCTTTTACTCCTGGAAGCCCTATACCCAGGCTGTATTATGTGATTTCTGTGTTTAGATTCCTGTTGGAGAGTTTCCTATAGATGAAATTACTTGAGATGTGCTTTTGTGTCAATTCCAGCCAAGGTTTTGCCAGCCATTGGTTGAATACCCTCCCCCCATTGCTCACTCTCCCTTCCCCCCTACACACACACACACACACACACACACACACACACACACACTCACTCCATTTTCCACAGTTTACCTGTAAATGCCTGGGGCTTTTCACCAACTCTGGGAAAGTGGCTCACTAGCCCAATTAACTAGAAACTTACTCCACCATCCAACATTTCTAAGTAAAAGAGATTTAGAATGTAAAAGGAAAAGAAAATTAAATGCCAGTTCCCCCATTTGTACTCCTGATGGAATCCTAATGACTATAGGTTATCCCCTTCCTGCCACATGGGGCCTCCTGTACATAGTAGAGGTTCTACAAAGACAGTGTCTGGGAGACACAGGCCATGCCCTTCACCCGGAGTCCATTAAGTTATGACTAAGGTTTCCTCAGTAAATCCTGGGTGCATTAGATGCATTAGTGGCAACTGGGTTGAGGGTCAAATGCTCTGATGTGATGGGGGAGGGACATCTGTGGCTAATTAGACCACTAACTGGCTAAACAGGAGAGGGACATGCAGGATCTGCCCTCAGCTCTGCACCAATGAGGAGCTAGCTCCCTGTCCAGGCCTCTGTGCGTGTGTGTGTGTGTGTGTGTGTGTGTGTGTGTGTGTGTGTGTGTGTGTGTGTGTGTGATGTCTCTATGACTCCCTGTCCAGCCCTTTGTTACCTGGGGATGAGATATGTTGTATGTGTGGGACACTGAGAAGGCTTGTTTGTAGGGGCATCACCCCAACAGTTCAGCATGAGTGGGATACATATACATACATATACATGTATATATTGTTTGTTTTTGTTTTTGTTTTTGTTTTTTGAGACAGGGTTTCTCTGTGTAGCTTTGGAGCCTATCCTGGCACTTGCTCTGGAGACCAGGCTGGCCTCGAACTCACAGAGATCCGCCTGCCGATTGCTGGGATTAAAGGTGTGCGCCACCAACGCCCAGCCTATGAGTGGGTTATTGCATGTGAACTGCTCTTGCTTTCATCAGGAGGCTCAGAGTGAGCCAGGCCCCAGGTACCTAGCTCCTCAGCTCACTAATTTTTTATTTTTTATTCTTTCCTGAGACAGGTTCTTACTATGTATAGCCTTGGCTAGTGTGGAACTCTATGTAGATCAGGCTGACCTTGAATTCAGAGATCCTTCCTATTTCTGCCTCTTGAGTACTGAGATTAAAGGCATGCAATATGCACCCTGATCCCTTTCAATTTAACCCTTTGCTTTGGTGATACAAGTTATACCCACACAGATCCACCTAGTTTCTTTTTCCTAGTCATGAGCTAATTTCTTGAGTGACCCTCAGTTTGTATTAAGATAACCGAAGGCTTAAATTAGTATGAACCAAGCTTGTAGGCCATTCTTTCATTAATGAATTAATCACAGTGGCAAATACTTTCGAGTAACTATCATATTCAAGTAAGGATATTATCATGGAGCCCCAGAGGTAAACTAGGGAGTCTCCAAAGGTCAACTATGTGATCTTTGCTAGCACAATCAGTAGTCTGGATTTGACCCTCAGCACCACAAAAAAAAAAAAAAAAAAAAAAAAAAAAAGATCAGTCATATGGCATTGCCTCGCTGAAGTCTAGCAGCTCCACTCAGCATTAACTGCAGTATTTGGGAGGCCTGGGGAGCAAGGGAAGCTTCACGGAACATGTGCCTTTTGAATTCTACTTTATCAGGCAGAGGGAACTCAAGCAGGTGGAGGTGAGGCTGGGGACAGACTACTCCAAAGAAGAGCAGAAGGCAGACAGGGAGAGGGAGAACATGGAGGAGGGATGCATGTCCTGTCTCCAAGGCTGTGGCCTCCTGGCTAAGACCCTCACTTTGGCCTTGCTTTGCAGATCAATGAGCTGAGCAATGTCCCTGTCCCTGTCATGCTAATGCCAGATGACTTCAAAGCTTACAGCAAGATCAAGGTGGACAATCATCTCTTCAATAAGTAAGTGGTCTCCTGGGGGGAGGGTAGGTTTTGTGGACAGCCCTTTACTTCCTTAAAGCATCTGACATTGTGTCACAAGTACCCTTGTTGGCAGAGTTGACAGACAAGCCTGGAAAATGTATTTAGAATGTGATTTCTCCCACACATGTCATCTCCTTCTTGTATCAGCCTACTGCCGGTGTCCCTTGGGGCATGTACCTGTGCTCCAGGTGATTCACCCAGGACCAGCTTGGGAGACAGCTAGTGTGCAGCTGCAGCAGGGACCTATGTTCCTGTGTCGTGTCCCGTGTGTCGTGTCCCCCACCCCCCGTGTAAGCTACAAACTGAGCTTGGTGCTCAAGATCACTACCCAAAATAACTCCTCTCTTTTGACTTGGTGGCTTCTTGGGCTTCAGACCAATCCAATATCTAGAAGGTGTCTCAACATTTTTAGAGACCTTCAAGAGGTCAACTCTTACCTAGCACAGTTGAGGATTTACTCTTAGCCATTTGTGTTTGTTTTTTGAAATAAGATTTGTCTGTGTAGTACTGACTGGCATGGACTCACTGTGTAGACCAAGCTAGCCTTGAACTTCAGTCAACTCCTCTGCCCCCTCAGTGCTGAGAGTACATATATGTGTATACACCAACATGCTGGCCTGAATCTCACTGTGTAGATAAGGTCGGCCTCAAACTCTTGGCAGTCCTCCTGCCTCAACCTCCTGAATTACAGCTGTGACACACCTGCCTCACAAGCCTTTTCTTGTTATTGCCATTTTGAGACAGCATCTCATGCGGCCTAGGTTGGATCTACTGTGTAGTCTGGTCTCAGTGTGGTGCCTTGAACTTTTGACAGTCCACTTGCCTCCACCTCTAAGTGCTGGAGTTACGAGTGTTCGCCCCAACTCCTGGCTTCTAAGCCTTTGTACAGCCTTAGTTTTATATGTCGCCATGAGCCACACCAGAGATCTTCTGGCACTCCCACTATGCTCTGTTCCGCACGTTCCTCCCAGGTCCTGCTGTCCATTGTCCTTAGTCTCCCCCACCTCACCAGTTGGACAGTCACGCCACCATTTTCAGACTGCCAGCCCTGAGGAAAAGCTTGGTTTCAGAACATCTCCTAGTGGCCTTTCTCTGCCATAGTAGGTAGGAGCATTTTGTTCTAGAAGCCATCTGTCTTCAGAACAGCCACCTCCTAAGTTGCCTCCTAAGGAATGGTAGGCAGCCCTCAACTCAGGCAGACAAAGAGGTGGTGCTGTTTGAGAGGTTAGGGCTCCAGGGGCAGACATCACACACCTCCCATTCCAGGCGTCCGTTCTCACTCACACCTTGGTCCAAAACAGAGCACCTGAGCTCTAAACTTACATCTTTGCCTTAGTTCTAGATGTAATGTTTATTGGGCAACAGTGCCATTCTAGAAGATGTATAGGCTTCAGGAGGAACCATTTATTTAGATTTTCAGGAAATCTACATCCTAGAATAGACAGAGGGCCTCAGTCTAGGGAATCTCATGGCAGTTACCAAAAAGGAGAAGATGGGAAGAGCCCTCATCTCTAGATCATTCTCTCTCTTTTTACAAGTCTGGGCATGACTGAGGAGCGGCATGGCATTGTAAATATGTGATTCCATGGATGGGACTGTAACTCAGTGGTACAACACTTGCCTTGCATGTGTGGGGCCCTGGGCTTGATCCCTAGTACAACAGAAAACACAAACAAACCAAAATTCCTAGTTAACTGACTGAGAACCTCTTGAGTACAAACCGAGTTTGTCTGAGGTGTCTCTCACTTGCTACGCAGGCTGTTCTGGGACTTACTAGGTGGCCGAGATTGGCCTTAAACACTCAGCGCTCTCTACCTCAGTCTTCTGAGTGCTGGCACTGCATGTGAGCACTGGGCTCAGGTCACCATTACCTTTGCCTTTACCTTTGCAGGCAGGGCTTCTCGGACACAAGCATTTCCAGGACATTTCCATGGCAGCATCCCAGAGGAGAATGGCCTTTCGATGAGGGTGATCTTTCCAGATGGTTATTCCCCTCCCAGTGTGTTGTAAGGAGTGTATACACTGGGTCTCACCTCCCAGTAGGCATGCCTTTCCATTTTAAAATTTCAGGACAGCATACAAAAACACAAACAAAGTCATACAAATTATAAGTATACAGTTAGGCGAATTCTTACAGAGATGAGGTGTAAAGTTCTACCCACCCCGAATCACCTACAGTGTTTGTTGAAAATGCAGATTTTGAGACCTGCTTCCTGAATCTCTTCGGGCCCCCGCTTTGAAGGGCTCCGGTGTCACTCAAGCTGAGTAAGGGCAGTTCACAAAGTGTGTGTCTGCTTTCCCCAGGGAAAACCTCCCCAGCCGCTTCAAGTTCAAGGAGTATTGCCCCATGGTGTTCCGAAACCTCAGGGAGAGGTTTGGCATTGATGACCAGGACTACCAGGTACGGTGCTGTCACAACTGGAGGCCTCAGGGATGAGATAGTCAGGAAGCCACAAGACAGACAGGGAGTAGACTGCAGTAGTCCCTGGGTCCCCGAGCTATAGCATCTCCCCATCCAAGCTCACTCCAGTGCCAGCAGACCAGGACCAGTGGGCCTGTGGGAGCTTCTGAGGATTCCTCCAAGGCTCTTGCTCTGGGGAAGGAGAGGGAGAAGAGTGGGAGGGAGGGACTGTGTGACAGTGGCTTCATTTCAGTGTGACATTCCCAGTCTAGGCTAAAGAACCCTCTTCTTCAGAGAGAGAGAGAGAGAGAGAGAGAGAGAGAGAGAGAGAGAGAGAGAGAAATGAGGCCTGTTATAGCAAGTAAAACAGAAAACAAAGACACCTAGGGTAGTGTGACCTACTGGCAAGTATGACTGTCATCTGAGCATTTCCACTGTCCTCATGGTGGGATGGGGTGGGCATGGCAGGGTGACTGCTCCCTTCAGAGCCTGATCCTGTTCTAGAAGCCATTGACTTAGAGGGACAATCAGTCAGGCTGGCTGAGTATCACTAAGTGGCCATGGCTCTGCACCTTCTCTGCCTTGCCCTGCCCTTCAGCCCCCCTCTTTCCTGGTGTACAGCCTTCTAGAGAAGGTAGGAGAGGTTTTCTTTGCCCTTAAGCAGTGGGACCATAGCTGACTTTTTCTATCATCCATGCTGATGTCACAGTGAGATCAAAAACAAATGCTAAACCACAGAAAGCTCTTTGTAAACCTTAGAGAGCTCCCAGGAGTGCACTGAGTTTGGGGACGAGCCGTCTCTGGAGGGCTTGCATGCAGAGATTTGTGTCCTGATAAGAGAAGAGTGGATACCAGGCTTAAACACCCAGGAATGTCCATGACTGAGAAGTCCTTTCTCCAGTCCCGCCACTGGAACCAAACCCTGAGCCAAAGCATAACCAGAATGGGGTCTGCTTTTCTGAAAATGTCTTGTTGTTTTTGCTATTCCACGTTGCTTGGCTCTGTTCCTTCTCCAGTGGTTTGTTCCTTGTCCTCGGGCTGTCTCACCACACCCTCTCTCTGTCTGCATCTTGCCTCTAATAGCCTTGCGGGCACATGACTGTGCTCAGGGCTGAAATGAGGGCAGCAAGGCTGCTGTTCAGGGAGGAGATGCCCAGGGATGGAGAGTCTTGGGGTGCCGCTGGACACAAGGTGACAGAGCTGTGTTTGCGCCCTCCACCTGGCTTGCTACTTCAGGGCCAGGCAGGGAGAGAGGAGAACTCATTCACACAGCCTGTCCACCTGGGGACTGGGGACTCAGGGTGTCTTTAATTAGCACCTTTACTACAGCATGCCCAGCGTCCCCTACCTCTCCATATTGCCCCGTGAAGGCAGTGCTGGGCCTCCACCAATTTTTCTGTTCCTTTTGGTTTTTGACTGATTATGGCACTCTGGCTGTCCTGGAACTTGCTATGTAGACCAGGCTAGCCTTGAACTCACCACCTCTGTCTCCCAAGTGCAGATGTGTGCCACCATGCCTGGCCTTTTTTTATTTTTCTTTAAGATTTTTTTTTGTTAATTTATTTTTTACATTCCAATCCCAGTTCCCCCTCCCTCCTCTCCTCCTGATCCCCTTCCACCCCCACACACACTCCCATCTGCTCCTCGGAGAGGGTAAGGCCTCCCCTGGGAAGTCTACTAAGTCTGTCCCATCATTAAGATTTATTTTTAACTCTGTGTGTGTGTGTGTGTCTGTCTGTGTGTTTGTGTGTGTGTAGAGGGGTGTGTGTGTGTGAGTGAGGGTGCCTATTGGAGGTCAGAGGCATTGGATTCTCCTGGAGTACAGTTGAGTAACTGGAAACCAAACTCCCGTTTTCTGCAAGATCAGTATGCATTTCAAACTGCTAAGCTTCCTCTCCAGCCCCTCCAAAGGGTTTTGTAAGGTTGTATTAAGTGACCAAGTAGGACTTCATGAGATTGGGAAAGGGCTAGGTAAAGAGCATTCCTGCAAGCAGATCCCAGTGGGTGTCTTTTTAGTAACCGGGACAGCAGGGATCCTGGCTCTTACATCATAAAATCCACATGCCCTTGTCACATTCACCTGTCCTGCCTTCTTTGGGCAGGATACAGATCTCGAGGAGAACCAAAGACACAGCCACGGGGGCTCCTGGCACTGCCTTCCAGCATACACAGATGAGCAAGGCCTATACCAGGGAGGCACTGGGAAGAGAGATGAGACCAACTTCTCTTAGGAGGTGTTTTCAAGGGATGGGATCAATTAATAGAAAAATACCCATTGCTTCCTGTAGTGGGCCTTTTGAATCTTTCCTAAGCTTTGTTACCTAAGAGACTCAGATGGTCCTCCTGGTCTGTCTCCCTGTGATCCAAGTAGGGAGACTTCAATGGCTCACTTGAGGCCACATTGCTTGTGGGGGGTCAAGATTGGAACTCACTAGGTCAGCATGGTCACATCACCCTCAGAGCCTAGTCTGAGGTCAAGGGTAGGAACAACTCTCATCATCTGGAGAAAATTTTAGAGAGGGCTGTGAACACCCCAAGTGAAAGGGGGTTAGGGAAGGTCCACCATGGGGACCTCAGTCTTGGCACTTGCTGGTCTTTAAGCGATTCAGTCTGAAGGAAAAGATTCAGAGCTGTGTTCAGAATCTTAGGGTAGCATGTACAAGGCCCTGGGTTCACCTCCTAGCACTGTGGGAAAGAAAAGGAAAAAAAGATACCGTGTTCCTCATCAAAATCAATTCTTTCATTTTGATTCCTCAGAACTCAGTGACACGCAGTGCCCCTATCAACAGTGACAGCCAAGGCAGGTGTGGCACACGTTTCCTCACCACCTATGACCGGCGTTTTGTCATCAAGACTGTGTCAAGTGAGGACGTAGCTGAGATGCACAACATCTTAAAGAAATACCACCAGGTATGGTGAGTCCCAGGCCTGGGCTGTGGAGGATGGGTTGGGAGAGGGGAAGAGGACACTTTGGCAATGGAGGTGCTTCCCTGTGCATTAGTTCCTTTTCTCAATACTATGGCGCAATACCTGACCGAAACAGTTTAAAGGATAGAAGATTATGACCTATGAGATCAGTCACAGTGGGTAAGAGTGTTTGCCAGCGAGTCTGATAGATTAGTAGATTAGTTACTTTTCTATTACTGTGATAATCACCATGACTAAGGCTCCTTATAGAAGAGTTTATTTGGGCTTACAGTTCCAGACCATTAGCATTCATGATGGCCGAGCAGCGGTGGCAGGCCTGGCAGCTGGAATAGTGGAAAGCTAAGAGAAGAAACTGGGAATGGCATGTAGCTTTGAAAGCTCAGCTCCCATCTACAGTGACAAACTTCCTTCAGCAAGGCCACACCCCATAACCCTACCCAAATAGTGCTACCGACTGAGGACCATACATCCAAACAGCTGAGCCTATGAGGGACATTCTCATCCAGACCACCACGTCCGATGACTTGAGTTCAGTCCACATGGTGAAAGGAAAGAACCAGTTCCTACAAGTTGTACTCTGACTTCCACAGGCATGCAGTGCCATGCAAAATAAATCAACAAAATGTAATAAAAAATAATGAGGAGGAGGAAGATTCTGTTTTGGATGTGGTTTTGGAGAGCTCAGTCCTTTGGCTGAGCGCAGGCAGGGTATCCCAGGGCTGGAAGTGTGTAGCAAGGGAGAGCTGCTTACTTCCTGCTGGAAGCAGAGAAAGGACATGCAGGAAGTGGCTAGAGCAAGACACAGCCCCTGAGGACACGCCTCCAGTTACCTACTTCTTCCAGCTGTTCCCGCCTCTTACCTTTCCCACTTGCCAGTAATGTCAGTGTCATCAGTAGACCATTCCTTAGGTCAGGCCGTCATGTTCATATTGGCTCTGGCATATATCCTTTATCCCCAGAGGTGTGTTTTACTAATCTCTTAGGCACTTTTTTATTTTTTGGCTTTGTTCTTTTTCAAGATAGAGTTCTCTGTGTAGCTCTGGCTGTCCTGGAACTGGCTCTGTAGACCAGCTAACCTCAAACTCACAGAGATCTGCATGCCTCTGCCTCCTGAGTGATGAGATTAAAGGCGTGCGCAACCACCCGGCTCTTAGGTACTTTTTAAAAAATTAGTAAGTTTATGTGCATGGCTATTTTGCCTACATATATGTATATGCATCATATGAGTGCCTGGTGCCCAGAAAGACCAGAAAAGAGTGTCAGAATCCCTGGAACTAGAGTTACAAACAATTGTGAGCTGCCATCTGGATTCTGGGAAACTAATCCAGGTTCTTTGGAAAAGCAGCCAGTGCTCTTAACCACTGAGCCATTTCTCTTGTTCCCTCTTAGGTGCTTCTTAATCCAGTTAGGTTACAATCAAAATTAACCACTACGCCTGGTAGCCAGGCAGCAGGAAATGTAAAGGGAACTTCTGGTCTTCGATGTGACATTATAGTCAGAGCTGTGGGTCATTTGGCTCTCCTGAAGTCCTGTAGAAGAACAGTGCTTTTAACCGCTGAACTCGCTCTCCAGCCCCTAGAGAGCCTGTTTTGAAAACCACTAGTCTACAAGTAGAATCTCAGAAAGCATCTTGGTCTGGGAGCGTCCCCATCATCCCAAGTGCTTTCCTGCCCCTTAGCCTTCTCTCTCCCCCGTTCTCCATTCTAGTTCATAGTGGAGTGTCACGGCAATACCCTCTTGCCACAGTTCCTGGGCATGTACCGCCTGACTGTGGATGGTGTGGAAACATACATGGTGGTCACCAGGAATGTGTTCAGTCATCGGCTTACTGTACATCGCAAATATGACCTCAAGGTAAAGGGCTCTGTGTTCCCTTGTGTGTCCACTGTTCTCTCCGAGGCCGGGAGAGGCTGCTCCTCCAGCTTCTTGTGTCAGGAGGGTTGGCGCACACACGTTAGTGAGATAGGTGACTCTGGAGTTGATGTGCCTTGTTATTGTAGACTGAAGACTGTTGGAAGTCAAGGTGCTAGTAACCAAGAGATTATTTAAGCCCTAGGTATAACATATGTGTGTGACAGTTGGTGCTCTTCAGTTCCTGTCTGTGGTTTGTGCACTCCGAGGGCAATGGAGTGGGGACAGGCTGTGCTGATGCATACACTCTGGCTTTTGTCCAGACACCATGAAGGGACAGCACTTCTAGACACTAAGAAGGATGCACTTAAGGCTCTGAAGCGGGGTACTCTGTTCTTAAACCAGGCTTCCTGATTTCTGTCACCTCACATCGCTGTCCCCTCCCTCTGCTGCAGCCACACTCACTTCCTTTGTAACCTCACAGCCCTTCCCCTGCCCCTAGCCAGGATTTCATGTGTGCTGTCTGAATAGTTTCCCTCCCAGCAGCCCTGTACTCCTCCACACCTCCTCTTTCCCCTAACTAAACACTTCCTGCTTCCCTTCTAGAAGCAGGCCGGGCCACTGCCGCCCCTCCACAGTCCAGGCCCAGCCCTGTATTTCATGCTTGGAGTGTCTTCTCCCTGTACCACTTAGTACCACGGTGATGAATGTTTTGACCACTGCTATAAGGAAAGTTCAGGGAGAGTGGGAGCTGAGGTCTCCAGGGCAGTCTTGTTCACTGAGCATCTGCCATGTCTTTTAGTCACAGTCAGCCCAATAAATGGCTGTTCTAGAGTGGGCCATGGCTGCCTTCTGGCCCCTCTAAGATACCAGCCAGTCTGTTTCCATTTACATATATATATCAGTCCCTGATAGTGTCTATAGTGTCTAGTGTACATTGCATGTTCAAAGGAGTTTGCCTCAGGGGCTAATGAGATGGCTCAGTGTGTAGAGTGCTCGTTGTGAAAGCTTGGGGACCTGAGTTCAGTCTCCACCTCCCAAGTGAAAGCCAAGTGTAGGGTTGTTCACTTCTCATCTCAAGAAGCAGAAACAGGAGGGTCACTGGGGCTTACTTGCCAGTCAGTCCAGCTAACTCTGTGAACTCCATGTTCAGTAAGAGACACTGTCAAAAAACAAACAAACAAAAAAACAAAACAGAGATCCCAGCACTGGGGAGGCAGGAAAGCAGATCCCTGTGAGTTTGAGGCCAGCCTGATCTACATAGTGAGTTCCAGGGCAGCCAGGTACACAGAGAAACCGTTTCAAAAAGCCAAAACAAACAAGAAGCAGAAAACACCTGATGTCTACTTCTGGCCCCTAACACATGTGCGTGTATGTTGCACTCCCATTTGCACACATGTGCATCTGCAGAGGGAGTTTGCCTCAACTCAGTGGGACTTTTGATGGCTTTTGTCCTTCCAGGGTTCTACTGTTGCCAGAGAAGCAAGTGACAAGGAAAAGGTAGGTTGGTGCTGAGCGGGGTTGAAGGGTCGCTTGCAATTGGTAACACCTTCTGCTGGCCATCTGTCCTCTCCCCTGTGACCCCCAGCCCAGCTCCCAAACATGCAGTCTGTCACCATGCAATGCTGTGTGTCATCAGGCGCCTGCCTCTCCTTGGCATACACAGCATCTTACTGCTTTTGCCTTTGCTGGGTTCTTTGTGGTTCTGCTGGGATGAAAAAGGCTTCTAGGCCACAGTCCAGCCTGAATCAGTTAATAGCTCCCTGCGTTCTGGTGTGGTCCTGGCTCAGCAGGAGAAGATCCTTTGCTCAGTCCTGTGATACCAGACACATTTGCTGTGAGTCTGTCAGCTCCAGTGCTGTTGCTGAGCGTCTTGTGTAAAGGACCCTTCCCCTCCGCACACTGCCCCCAGCAGAACAGCCCATTCTACCCGGGCAAGTGAGTCAGCCTGCGCAACTTGACTGTGCTGTTGTTCTCCCAGGCCAAGGATTTGCCAACATTCAAAGATAATGACTTCCTCAATGAAGGGCAGAAGCTGCACGTGGGAGAAGAGAGTAAAAAGAACTTCCTAGAAAAACTAAAGCGGGACGTTGAGGTACCAGAGGCAGAGCCTCTTTAACCTTCAAAAAATGGAGCTCGTTGTTGCAGGGAGTGCATGGGACGGGTGGTGGGCTGAGGGATGCCGGTGGTGTCAGCATGAGTCACGCCTCAAGCCTGTACAGATGGGCATTCCACAAGGGCATACTGTACTAGGTACATTTCTATTGCTGTAATGAAACTCCATGACCAAGGCAACTTCTAAAGAAAGCCTTTAGTTGGGCTTACGGTATCAGAGGGTGAGAGTCCATGACAGCAGAACAAAGGCATGGTGGCAGGAACAGCTGAGTGCTCACATCTACCCACAATCCAGAGGCAGAGAGCATGATGGGAATGGCACAGGTCTTTTGAAACCTCAAAGCCCACCACAGTGACACACCTCTATCAACAAAGCCACACCCCCTAGTCCTTCCCAAACAATTCTATCAACTGGGGACCAAGTATTCAAATATATGGGCCCTTGGGGGCCATTCTCATTCTAGCAACAACACATGCCGTTTTACCAGTGGGGCATTTGTAACCCAGTATGGAATGCTTCCCCTCTGTGTCTTTATAGTCACATCACACATGGAATTCCCATATCTAGCATTAGAGTGATGGGAAACCAGCTGTTTACGGCCCTCCAACCATACATTCCCTGGTTCTGACTCCCTGTTTCCCCAGAGGAGGGTCCAGAATTCTTCCCTGATACACATGGCTTCTTTTGACCTACAGTGAAGATTGATGACTGGAGTTGCATTTTGGGTTTTTTTGTTTTGTTTTGTTTTGGTTTGGTTTTTTGAGACAGGGTTTCTCTGTGTAGCCTTGCCTGTCCTAGAACTTGCTCTTTATACCAAGCTTGCCTTGAATTAGAGATTGGCCTGTCTCTGCCTCTGGAATGCTAGGATTAAAGGCATGTGCCACCACCGCCCAGCTCAGACAATACTTTTAACTTTTGAGCCAACTTTTAAGCTTAGCCCCATGTATTAAATACATTTTTAAAAATTCTTTTTTGGCCGGGCAGTGGTGGCGCACACCTTTAATTAATCCCAGCTCGGGAGGCAGAGGCAGGCAGATCTCTGTGAGTTCAAGACCAGCCTGGTCTAGAAGAGCTAGTTCCAGGACAGCCTCCAAAGCCACAGAGAAACACTGTCTCAAAAAAACAAACAAAAAAAATTCTTTTTTGTTTTGAGGCAGTCCTCTCTCTCTCTCTCTCTCTCTCTCTCTCTCTCTCTCTCTTGTTGGGTTGGGGTTGGGGGTGACCTAGAGCACATTGCGTAGACCAAACTATCCTCAGACTCAGGTAGATTTCTCTGCTTCTGGCTCCAGAGTGCTGGGGGAAAAAAAATTGTGCATTTTTTCCCATACCCGGCTGGAAAAACAATTCTGAGTCCCAGTGTGCTACATTGGCTTAGGACTCAGAAGCAGTTGAGAGTTGTGGTTTTAGAGACAAGCCGCTGGGCTGCACCACCCTTTGCCCAGCTCAGCAATGCCTTTACGTCTGTCCTCCCAGATGGTTCCAGCAGCTCTTCCTCTGGCAGTGAGCACTTTGACCTCTACCCTATGGCCTGTGTCTGTCCAGCTCCTCTTCATCTTGCAGCTGCAACCTTGTGTCTGTCCTCAGGGAGTCCTCACCCCACTGCCAGCCTTAAACCCCCTTGTCCTGCTGAGCGAGTGCCTGTCCTTAGACACCGCTCTCACAGTAGACACCAGTGTCTTACTCCTGCTCCATTTTTGAAGCCTGTGTAGAAATGGATTGAAAGGATTGCTTTCTTTCCTCCTAGATGCCACTGCGACCTCCCATATAACCCTTCCTTCCATCTTCCTGTTCTCCTCTCCGTAGTTCCTTGCCCAGTTGAAGATCATGGACTACAGTCTGCTGGTGGGCATCCACGATGTGGACCGGGCAGAGCAGGAGGAGATGGAGGTGGAAGAACGAGCCGAGGACGAGGAGTGTGAGAATGATGGGGTGGGCGGCAGCCTGCTCTGCTCCTACGGCACACCTCCAGATAGCCCTGGCAACCTCCTCAGCTTCCCCCGGTTCTTTGGACCAGGCGAGTTCGACCCCTCTGTCGACGTCTATGCCATGAAAAGCCATGAAAGTAAGTAGGAGCTGTGCCACTCTGCCCAGCCAGCCCCGAATGCTTCTGCTCAGTGTTGGGATTTGGGGTGTCTGCACCCCTGCCTCATTCATTGCTGACTTGCCACCTCCCTCTGCCAGGCTTCTGTTTAAGGTCACTCTCTGAGAACTGGAACCTGGGGTTCCTTTTCTCAGGTCTGTGTCCCCTCTCAGGCTGTCTGGCTGAAGGTCCAAGAAGATGTGACTGTAAGAAAGCTTGTTTCCAGGGGTTATGGGTGTGCCCCAGCCACCTGTTGTCTTCTCCATGCAGGTGCCCCTAAGAAGGAGGTCTATTTCATGGCCATCATCGATATCCTCACACCGTATGATGCTAAGAAGAAAGCCGCACATGCTGCCAAAACAGTGAAACATGGGGTGAGTTCTCAGGTTTCTTTCCGGGGCCCAGCCCAATGGAGTACATCTGCACCCTCCTCAGAATGCCTGAGAATGTGGTTGTGGCCTTCTTCCCAAAAGAGAGAAAGAGCAGCCTGGTTGCCTTCCTGTGTGCTCCCCACTGCCTTCCTGTGTGCTCCCCACTGCCTTCCTGTGTGCTCCCCACTGCCTTCCTGTGTGCTCCCCACTGCCTTCCTGTGTGCTCCCCACTGCCTTCCTGTGTGCTCCCCACTGCCTTCCTGTGTGCTCCCCACTGCCTTCCTGTGTGCTCCCCACTGCCTTCCTGTGTGCTCCCCACTGCCTTCCTGTGTGCTCCCCACTGCCTTCCTGTGTGCTCCCCACTGCCTTCCTGTGTGCTCCCCACTGCCTTCCTGTGTGCTCCCCACTGCCTTCCTGTGTGCTCCCCACTGCCTTCCTGTGTGCTCCCCACTGCCTTCCTGTGTGCTCCCCACTGCCTTCCTGTGTGCTCCCCACTGCCTTCCTGTGTGCTCCCCACTGCCTTCCTGTGTGCTCCCCACTGCCTTCCTGTGTGCTCCCCACTGCCTTCCTGTGTGCTCCCCACTGCCTTCCTGTGTGCTCCCCACTGCCTTCCTGTGTGCTCCCCACTGCCTTCCTGTGTGCTCCCCACTGCCTTGTGCTCCCTACTGATTTCCCTGTGTGCTCCCCACTGCCTTCCCCGTGCTCCCTACTGCCTGCTTTGTGCTCCCTACTGATTTCCCTGTGTGCTCCCCACTGCCTTCCCCGTGTTCCCTACTGCCTTTCCTGTGCTCCCCACTGCCTTCCCTGTGTGCTCCCCACTGCCTTCCTGTGTGCTCCCCACTGCCTTCCCCGTGCTCCCCACTGCCTTCCCCGTGCTCCCTACTGCCTTCCCTGTGCTCCCCACTGCCTTCCCTTTGCTCCCCACTGCCTTCCCTGTGCTCCCCACTGCCTTCCCTTTGCTCCCCACTGCCTTCCCTGTGCTCCCCACTGCCTTCCCCGTGCTCCCCACTGCCTGCTTTGTGCTCTATTCCCTCCCCTAGCCAGGTAATAAACACAACTTGTTTTTCCCGGGAGTTGCCTGGCCTTTGGGTCCAGGCTGCCAGTTCCTTTTCCCCAGGGCTGCTGGGCATGTTGTGCAGCTTGTTAGATAGCCGAGAATAGCCTTGTTTACACTGCTCACACTGCTCCCCACAGGCCAGGTTCTCCGTGGGCTAGTAGCTTCTGCTCTCCACATATTGCCCTCACAGAGACCAGGGCCTTCCTGCCGCCTCCACATTGCCTTTCTACTGCCTCAGAGGGTACATCAGTCAGAGGAGTGGGCCCCGGTAACTCTGACATGACACATAAGCCACTTCCTGAGGTGGCCTGCCCAGTGTGGTGATTCCTGATGCTGAATATAACATGGCCTAATGACTATGTAAGTCAAGGTTAGCACGGGCCACACATCCAAAACTATCTTTAGAAAAAATTGTTTCTTGTCTAAGACAATGGTTCTCAGCCGGGGGTTGCAACACTTTGGAGGTCACTGATCAGCTATTTACATTATGATTCATAACAGTAGCAAAATTATAGTTATGAAGTAGCAATGAAATAATTTTGTGGTTGGGGGTCATTGTTTTTTCTTGTTTGTTTGCTTTGTGTGTGTGTGTGTGTGTGAGAGAGAGAGAGAGAGAGAGAGAGAGAGAGAGAGAGAGAAATAGAAAGGCTCCAGAAGAGTCAGAAGAGTGGGTGCCTTTGAGTTGTCACCTCTGGTCTTCTGAGCAGCTGATGCTTGTCTGCATCTCGTATGTTTCAGGCAGGGGCTGAGATCTCCACTGTGAACCCGGAGCAGTACTCTAAACGCTTCAATGAGTTCATGTCCAACATCCTGACGTAGTCGTCTCTACCTTCGGCCAGGGCCAGACTGCTGGACAAGGGGTCGGGGATCGGGAGAGGGCTAGAAGGGAGGGTAGGGAGCAGAGGGGGGTCAGGAGGCCTTTAGGAAAGGGACTGCAGGGTGTGACACAGAGCGAGTCTAGCCGGGAGGGAGGGAGGGAGGGAGGGAGGGGACGGGACATGCTGTTCACAGGATGTAGTCTTACTTCCTGCTCACCCTTGATAGGCCCCTTTTGTCCCTGGTTAAAATGGGGCTCCCTCTTTGGCATCTTGTAACCTTTGACGATACCTTGGGGCTAGAGATGACTTTTGTGGGTTTATTTGGGTTTGTTTCTTAAATTCATTGCTCCAGGTTTGCTATTTATACTGCTCTATGTCACCACCCTAGCCACCTTCCCTATTCCTATCAGGCCCTCAGTTCCCTTCAGTTAAGACTGGCCCAAGGGCCATGAACACAGTTGCTCTGACACTATGAGAAGAGGTCAGACACCTCAGTCAGCCATGTTTGGATCTCAGCTAGAAGGACTTTTTAGTTTCCTGGAGTATTGTGCATAGTTCCCTCCATGTTTCCACCTTGGATCCAAGTGAAGTGTTACAGTCACTCCTCCATCCTGCCCTCGCAGAAGAAAATGGCAGGTTGACCCTGACATCTTGGACCAGAGTCAGAGGCCTCAGCGGGGAACAGGTTCAACTTCATGAGATGGTGAGTGACCAGAAAGCAGCTGGGCCCTCAGACAGCTGGTTCTCAAAGAGCCCAGTGCTCCACCCCAGCCACCCGCACCTCTGACCTGGAATTTCAATGTCTGTCAAGCCTGCCTCCCACTGGCTCAAGGGAAACTAGAAAGCGTCTCACATTTATCAGGACCTGTGTTTCAATGGCTGTTTCCCTTTGGGAAAATCCCAGAAACTAAGACGTGTCAAACGGGGTCGTGTGCATCTGTACCACTTCGTGCAGTCACCTGTAAGCGGCATGTGGTCAGGGGCAGAGCCCTAAGTACCCGGGTGCTCACTGCAGAGACACCACTCCAAGCCCCGGCCTACCGTGTAGGTGTCTGGCCCCCTGTGCCTGTGACTTCTCACCTGGACAGCTTCAGCCAGCAAGGTGCTCCACCCGAGGTTGCTTGAGTCACTTGAGGATGTGACCCAGGAAAGCCTGTCTGGAGGCCACTTGTGGGGCTCGACCCATCCCCAGCCTCGGGGCTGGTTTCCTTGTTGCCCCCTCACCCTTTCTGAACTTGGGATCTGTCTACAGGCCTCCTCGGAAAGAGCCACACCCTGCATCCTCCTTCAGGATCCTGGCCCAGGGCCTCAGAAGGGAGCTATACAAGTCATTCTAATGCCACCAGAGCAACTGGTGGCCAGAAAGAAAAAATGGGCCCGTTGGCCTTCACTGGGAGAGGTACATTCCTACCTCCTCCCAACCCCTCAGAAGGAATCAGGAATTTAGGATGAGATGGAAAATGTGTAGATAACCCCAAAGACGTGAAGCGGGTCTGTGGAACTATCTCGGGTGAATAGATGATTTCCTGTGACTGCTCCCAAACTAGCCGAGCTCAGCTTTGGAGCTGGAGCCATTGTGCAGTGTCCTCTCTACCCAGCACTAAGAAAGGAAGCAAGATGACAGTCTGGGCTTCTTTTTTTCTAGGGCCACCACATTGAGTGGAAGCCCTTGGTGAGGCAGGTGAGGGCCACACTCCTTCCCAAGAAGAGCATAGATGAGGTTCTGGGGGCAGAGCCGTCAGGGTCTTGGGGAAGTACTCAGAACCATGTGGTTCATGGAGAAATGTTTTTAATTTAGGAGAGGGTTATATAGGAATAATGTCTGGACAGTGATTTCCCCACCCCACAATCAAGAGTGAAAAATCTGGATCTGCTCCCAGGAGCCCCAAGCTTGGAAGCCAGGCTCCTGGCGGATCCTGTTGTCATGCATATGAAAGTGTAACAATCTTATCAAAGCAACTACCGGGTATCTAACTTGTTTAACATTGAGTTTTGTGGGTTTTTTTTTTTTTTGTATATTGTTTACAATTTTGAAAAGTAGCATTCTGTTTCAAATGCTCTGTTTTCCTGACAGTATTGTTGAGTGGGTCAAACTAATTGAGCTGTGGTTTGGTGGACTTTATGTTGTGTTTTCAGTCATTCTCTGTGCTGTCTTCAAAACCTTGGGTTTGGCCCTCTGATTCCTTTGACATTCATATGTTTAAAAGCTATTTATCTTGGTTCATATAAGTTTTCTTTCTCTTTGTGACAAAGATGTGCTGTTGGGCTTCAATCTCAAAATGATCACACACACACACACACACACACACACACACACACAATCTATATGCTCCCTCTTTTCGGAGTCCCACCATTCACTTTCTGGACAGCAGGTGTTGAGACCCTTAACTTCACTCCTCAGGGCCAAGAACGGCCAAACCGTCTTATGGCATCCAGAATCCTTCTGGGTCTTCCAGGAATAGAACTTTCAGCAGAAAGACCCAGACAATTGGGTGAGGCCTGGATTTGGGAAAGGGAGGGAACCCCATCCCAGTTCCTCATCCAGCCACTTACTGTGTGGCTCCAGTCACAACTTCTCTGGTCCCCATCCCTCCTGTGGAAAGTGTGAAGCTGAGGAAGTGTGCAGCTCAAGTGAGGGCTACTATGAAAACTGACACTTAGTAATGGCCTCAGGCTGTGTTCCCAGTCTAAGCCCCTCCCTGTGTCAGCATGCGGGGCGGGGCCAGGGGTTTGGCTCTGCTGCAGTGCTCATTCTCTCCTTATCTAGCTCAGGGGTTACTGGTCTGTGGCTGGCGCCATGAGTGGCCCCCAGGCTGTTCTCAGTGGCACTATAGTCCCCCACCCCCCAGGCAGCTCTTCCTCTCCCCTCCCCAAGTCACTTTGCTTCATCCTGGGCTTTGGGCCTGAACAGGTCCCCTAGCAGGGCTCAAGGCAGGAGACTGGAGTCCTGCGGAGCCCTCCCCTCCTCACAGTGTGCCAGGCCTGCCTGGGGAGGTGGACCAAAGGACCCAGGACTTTCCCGGTAGCCAACCCCCCCCCCACCCCCATTGTCTTTTTATCACTTCAGGTTGAGAGGGAAAAGCGTTAGTTTGTTCCAGCACTTGACCTACTCCAGAGTGTTTCGGGCACAAAGGACAATGCATTCAGTCCTCAGAGCTCCGTGTGTGGTGTCCTGAGTTTAGAGACCTCACCTCTTTGTGGCAGTAATGGGGGTTTGGGTCCAAAGGGAAACACATTTAGACAGCTGCCCCAAATCTGCCAGCCATGGTCCCAGTCCTCCTCTGAAATATGCCACTTAGGAAGAGTGACTCAAAGCTGTCCTTCAACAGGTTGAGACACCAGAAAGGGGGCTGGGAGACACTAAAAGAGCCTGTCACTTGCCCACAACCATTTTGTGAGGTGGGAGCCCATACATTTAGGGGGAGCCCGTCTGCTCGGCACATCTTGGCAGCAGGTCAGAACATTGAACATACAAAATGTGAATAAAGTCTGGAGTCACCTTTGGGACCGAAGGATTAAAGTACCACCCACCACATGTGACTTCTCCATTTCTGGCTGCAAGTTCCATTTTTTTAAATAGGAATTTTCACCCCTGTGCTTGTCTAATGTCTGCTCTGAACAGTTCAAGCCCTTGTTGCTGTTTTAAAATGCATGCGTGTTAAAATGAGACTCCAACCGGAGGACAAAATAAAACTCAAAAAGTTTTGTGTACATCTGGTATGTGAATCCTTTGATGATACAACCCACCCCTTTTCAGAATTAGAATTGTTTTTGTCCCAGTTTTAGAGGCAGTTCCGGCAAAATCAGTGCATGGTTTGGAGAAACAATATGGCAATGGCCCACTCGAGATGCAATTACTGAGCAATGTTGAGCTCATAGCACGGGGTGGGATGCCTGCCAGTTAACAATACCAAGTACCATATCCCTTCCCTCACTTGAGCTGTGGATAAGACAATGGCTAGAGCCATATATCCCAACTGGCTGTGTGGCACTGAAAAAGGGCATCCCTGTGTGCCTCCAGCTCTCCATCTATAAAGTTTAGTACTTGGGCTTCGGGTGTTTCTCAGTGACAGACTGCTTGCCTAGTATGTGCAAGATCCTGGGTTCCAACCCCAGCGCACACATGCACACAGTTTAGTTTAGTAGCTCTCAATGTGGACCTGGACCAGCCATCATCAGTGTCACCTGAGATTCAGAAACAAAACTCTTAATTCATCCCAGACCTTCTCATTCAGAAAGTTTTTCCCCCCCTTTCTGGGTTTTTCAAGATGGGGGACAAAGCTGCAGGAACAAAGACAAGTAGGAGTGAAAGAAAGGCAATTTTATTAAAAAGAAAAACAACAAAAGGGAAACTGGGACCAGAATACAGGGTCAGTCCATCCGGGCCTTCAGCGTCCTGGTGGTGATCTTGTCCTTTTCACTGCCAAGAGAGAAAAACCACACACACACACACACACAATCATGTATACTGTTCTCACCTGCCTGCCTCCCTTCTGACCCTCAGCTGTAAGAATGGGAAATGTCTGCCTGGCACCTGCTGCCCTACAGACCATTATGAAGGGGGCAGGGCAGGGCAGGGGGAGGTTTTCTCCAGAGACGGTTTGTGCTGGACTGAGACACCCTCTAAAGGACCAGAACCCCCCCCCCCCCTTCCCAGGCCTAAGGAACAAGTGGTGTTGGAGTAAACAGGTCCCACTAGGAGACGGGACACTGTTCCTGGTGATAGCCTTAAACAAATAGAGAGCAAGCATCTCATGTCTGGCTGGGGACTGGGATGTGGGACGTGAACCATGCACACAGTTCGAGGGCTGTAGACTAGAGGGCATGTGGAGGATGCAGAGCCACCAGCAATGCAGTCTGCAGGAAGTTACTGCCCATGGTCATCTCTGAAACTTTGGGGACACCATTAGGAAAGGTGACAGACTTGGGGTCACAGGTTATCACCAGCTGAGGACTGGAGAGTCTAAGCTCACCCAAGTGCCTACTGCACAAAGCATTCATGCTGCTATCTGGGCTTATTGTTGGCTCACTCCTTCCTTCTGTCCCTCTCTTCCTTTTTTTTCTTTCTTTCAGGACAGGGTTTCTCTGTAGCTTTGATGTTCCCTCAGTAAACCAGGCTGGCTTCGAACTCACAGAGATCCACCTGCCTCTGCCTCCCGAGTGCTGGGATTAAAGGTGTGCGCCACCACCACTTGGCCTCTTCCTTTTTTTGAGAAAGGGTTTTCCTGTTTAACTCAGGCTAATCTTGAACTCAAAATCCTCTTGCCTCAGCCTCCCCCATGGGAGAGAGAATACAAATGTCCCCCCCCACCTTGCCCCTGTCACCATGCTCTGCTTCCAATGGCACCTCTCTGAGCTGACACCTGATGAGGGCTTACAAGGCGAGCAAGTGTCTGTGAAGTTCTAGACGTCTTCCAATCATACTCACATGATGTGGACAATGACGCCCATGCCCGATACAGCATCCCGGTCCACAGCATTCAGCATGGCTTGGGAAATGGTTTCAAACAGGTGTTCTGGATCCTGCCAACAGAGGAAAGCTCTCAGACCTGGGATGTGTTCCTTCTCAACCCTCTTGTTTTCTGGACTCCAGCTGCCCTACTTAGGCCCTGCCAGCCTGGTGTGAGGGATGGTTCCTTGGTTATGGGAACTTCTCAGCTCCTTCCTCAGGAACAAAAAGGATGAAGAAAACATTTCAACCCTCAAAGTGCCATCTTGGGCAAGTGTCATAATTATATCCAGTGACAGGCTTCAGTTCCTCCATTGTAAAAGAAAAAGGAGCTCTGCTTGGTTCGGGTGTGCTTCTCAGCAGCCTGAGATGTCCTGCATGACCCACAGATATGTCAAAACTCAACCCATCCAATCTCACCAGCCCCCTCCTCAAACCAGCCCCCTCTCCTCAATTCTCCCCCTTGGGACTCACTGCCTCAACTCTGGCTGCCCTCCTGTGCCCAGTCAGGACCTCAGCATCTCCTAGAGATGAGTGAACACAACCCATCACAGCAAGCTGTAGCCTGGATCCCTCAGGGTCCTTCCACCGAAGGAAAGCATGTAAATATTGCGTGTGCTCAAGGTCCCGTCTTACCCTTCATCTCCAGCCTCACTTCACCACAGCTTTCTCCTACTCACAGGTACTCTGGCCCTGCCTGTACCCCAGGACGGGCTGTTCTGCTGGCCCCCAGGCCTGCTTTGTCCTCTTCCCCCTCTTCTATGCGTGTGAACAGCCATTTGAATGACTTCCCTTGTTAAAGGCAGTAAGCCTCTGAGGCCACTTTGGACTTGGCTTCACCCAGCCTGCAGAGCAGAAGAGTGCATTCAGTACCTCCCTATGAGGCGCAGCTCTAGTTTCTCATTCCCTCTCAGAGGAATGGTACCATTCACAGCTGAGGTAAATGGAGGGCAGAACAGAACGTCATCAGTCAGAAGAGGACTGACACACTTATGTAAGACTGGTTTCGACCCAGCACTTGGGAGGCAGAGGCAGGTGGATCTGTGAGTTCGAGGCCAGGCTTGTCTACAGAGTGAGTTCCAGGACAGTCAGAGCTGATACACAGAGAAAACTTGTTGCTGCCAGTCATAGGGGAATAGGGGAGGACCCCGGAAACCCAGTAAACGTGTGACCAGGGTGGGTCAACAGAGGCTGCTCTCCTCCTGGCGGGCCAGCCCAGGTGGAAAGGCTGGAAACTCTCAAATGGAGGGAGCAGCAGCTGTGGCCTGCCACGCCTTCCCCTCCACTTCCTGCTGCACAAACACATGTCTATGAAGGCTCGGGTTCAGAGGCCAGCCTTGCTGGGTGTTGCTAACTCACCATGTTGGGCTCCCAGAGAGACTCGCACATCCCATACATTTGTTCAGAGCAGGTACCACTGACTACAAAGTCATCAGTCACCATGGGGCAGCCGATGAGGTCTAGAGAGCAAATGAAGGGCTTAAAGGTCTTCGGGTCCAACCCAGCAATGACAGGCTCTGTATAGTAGGGACCAAACCTGTGGCCAGGGTGAGAGAGAGTCCAGAGTTCAAGAGAACTGGTTTTCACACACTCATCTGTTCAGACAAGGGAGGCTACTGAGGGAGGGGCTGGCCCTGTGCAGCCCATTCCCCTTCTCCCGGCAATGTTGTAAGGTATGTTCACCCCCTCTGACTTCTCTTCCTCCTGGCCCTCGATGCCCCCCTAGTATTCCGTTGGGAACTCTGCCTCTCATCTTCACTACCACCCGAAGTCCCACCATGATTGTACTCCCGATCTGAGCATTTACACCTCTGCGTCTATAGAAAAAGGATTTGAGACTGGGCCAGGGTGTGGCTCACTGGCAGAGAACATACCCAGCATACATGGAACCCAGTGTTGGAGCTCAACCCAATACTGCAGGAAAGTTTAAAAAACCAAAAGTAGCTGGGTTTGGTGGCACATATCTGGTCCTGGTACTCAAAAGAGGCAGGGGGATCGAGCTGGATACCAGCCTGGACTACTAACAAAACCCTCTGGGATCTTAATGAACAACTGCAAGTTGGGCATGGTGCCACACACCTTTGATACCAACATTTGGGAGGCAGGAGCACCTCTCTGAGTTTGAGGCCAGCCTGGTCTACAAAGTGATTTCTAGTTCAGCCAGGGCTACACAGAGATCCTGTCTCAAAAAGAAAACAGACAAAAAACAAACAAACAAACAAACAAACCAAAAACAAAACAAAACAAAAAACCAAAACCAAACAAACAAAAAATACTGAATGGAGTCCCAGTAGAAACTACCTGTGTGTCCTCTCCTGGGTTTGTACTTTTTATTTATTTTTTAGGGGTTTTTTTGTTTTTGTTTTTGTTTTTGAGACAGGGTTTCTCCTGGAACTCATCAAGCTGGTGTCAAACTCAGGGACTCCCCCGCTGCCTCTGCCTCCCTAAAGGCCTTTGTCACCACATCCCGCTGCAAACTTATTTCTTTTATTAAAATTTGAGTTTCTTAAGCATCCTGAGCATCAATTTTACAAGATATTTAAACTTGTATCATCCTGACATACGATGATCTTCAACTTTTTTTTAGATTTTATCTTTTTAAAAAATATTTTTTATTTAAATTAGAAACAATCTTATTTTACAATTTTTTAAAATCTTTATTTGATGTGTGAGTGTTTTTGCCTGCATGTATGTCTTGTCCACCACATGCATACAGTACCCACAGATGCCAGAAGAGGGCATCAGATCTCCTACAACTAGAGTCACAAACTGTTGTGAGCTAGTCTGGGGGTGCTGGGAATCAAACATGGGTCTACTACAAGAATTACAAGTGCTCAGCCAGTGGATGGTGGTGCACACCTTTAATCCCAGCATTCAGAAGGCAGAGGCAGGTGGATCTCTGTGAGTTCGAGGCCAGCCTGGTCTACAGAGTGAGTTCCAGGACAGCTACCACAGTGAAACAAAACAAACAACAATAACAAAAAAGGGCACTGTGCTGCAAGCGAGAATGAATGGGACAGCAGGCCTCAAGGCGGATAACCTCGAGGAGCCTAGTGTATATGAGTTCCAGGCCAGCCATGGCTACAGTCAGACTGTCTCAGACAGGACGGAATGAGGCGGGGAGGGAAGGTGAGTAAGGGGAGAAACTGTCCCCACAACAACACTCCACAGCATTCTGCCTAATAACTAAGCGTCTGAACCTCCCCCACCCCCAGCCACCCCACCGCCAGTCTTGCTTCACTCACCGTTTCTCATACAGGAG